TAGAAACATTGAAATAAAATAAGTTCATATTTGTGTGTGTATTGTTTTTAAATCTATGGTTTTATTTCATAACAGTTAAATACAGTGTAACCCGGATATAAGAGAGTTGTCGGGACCGGAGAAGAAGTCTCTTATATCCGGGTTTCTCTTATATCCGGGTTTCTCTTATATCCGGGTTTGGTCTATTTTATATACATTGACACAGGCTCTAATTTGGGACCAGAGAAAATCTCTCTTATATCCAGGTTTCTCTTATATCCGGGTCTCTTATATCCGGGTTACACTGTATATAGACTTTGAAAATTTTGCTAAGTGTGCTGCGTTATTTTCATTTACTCCTAGGTGTGCCGTTGCTTAAAAAGTTTGAGAAACACTGGGCTTAAGGGACTTTATTGGTGTTTTTGTTTATTCATAATGGAAAATATTATTTCCTCGTAATGGTGATATTAGTCTTTCTTCTACGGAAACATTTAACATTTATTGACCGAACTGCCGGTGCTACTCGAATTACTAGTTTATATATATATATATATATATATATATATATATATGTGTGTGTGTGTGTGTGTGTGTGTGTGTGTGTGTGTGTGTGTGTGTGTGTGTGTATGGAGAAAGACAGAGAAAAAAGAAAGAGGATTATCTTTGAGTTTGTCCTGGCTTTTGCGGTAAAAAAAAACTCACAATCAGTAAAAAAAAAAAAATACCTGTGCTATACTTAGTATGACCAAGTCCTGGTGATACGCATACAGAAGGCGAAAGCCATACGTACATACACACATGAAAAAATAAGAGACACACACACAATCTTACTCTTTTATATGCAAACATACAAACATAGAAACAAGCGCGAACTTACTCTCATTCTTTTTTTTTTTTTTACATCCACATTAGTACATATTATCTAAGGTAATGGATTTCTGTTTATTAATTCGACAGATTTCTATCACTTTAAACGTTATATTTAGTGGATTTTCATATTTCAGTAGACGATCCATTTATTTAGCAAGCAGTATGTTTATTTATTTTCGTCTGCTCTCCAGAATATTTGAGAAATCACATTAAAGGAAAATACACGATCTCCGAACAGAGGGAAACCGTCGTTAGATCCGACGTGCCTTAACCGACTCGGTCACGGAGCAGCCAAAGTTTAAGTGAAATCCTTCGCGTATTAAATTCATCGAAATTTTCACATCTCCTCAGTTTCGTATCTAAAAGTAATTTTCTAAGGTAACGACTTTTTATTTATAAACCTGACAGAGTTTTATCACTTTAAACGTTATTTTTAGTGATTACCCATATTTAAGTGGACGATCCATGTGTTTATTAAACAGTATGGTTATTTATTTTCGGAGAGCACTTTTTTCTTCTTTAATGAGATTTCTCGAATATTCAAGCCGGTAGACGAAAAAAAATAAACATACTGTTATGTTCTACCCATCTCTCTACGTAGTAGTAGTCGTAGTACAATTCTTCGTGTCCTGAATAGCAACCAGGTTTGCTAGATATAGCAGTTCCCTATGTTCGCCAGTTGTTCTCTATTTATACTTGTCTATCTAATTTCCATACGATACTACACATACATAAATAAATGGAGCGTCCACTCAAATATGAGTATTCACTAAAAATAAGGTTTGAAGTGATAAAAAATAGTATATATACATACACACTTCTACGCTAGGAATTTACATATAAACATATATAGAAGGATCCTATTTTAAAGCTATAATAAAAAAGTTATCTCGCAGACCGTTGATAGTGTAGTCTCAACCTTCCCTAAGTGATTCATTCTTGTAGTCTTGTGCTCGACTTAGCTAAGTTTAGTAAATATCTGCACACATGCGTATTACGACAAGTGCTGAAAAGTTAGCGGCCTGACCCATAAGTCCTTCCAAAAATGTCCTTTTTGGCCTAAGAGGACGAACTGTGACAATTCCCGGAATTAGCACCGCATGCGACTAGGGTAATGAATCAGGTAAACCTTTGTACCTGAGGACACACGTATACATATGTTGCAACTTCATCTTTCTTGAAACGTAGATCAGATGAATTATACGTTGCTGAGCAGTAGAGGAAGTTGCACGTGTTCATGTTAAACTGTTGACAGAATATGTGGAATCTGGAACAGCAGATTAACGCCATTTCTTTTTTGTTATGGAACGTTAGCACGATTAAAATGGCTTAAGTTGAACATGCTATGAAGAAATCGAGTGTTATTGCATGTCACATGTGGTTCAAGGAAAGACGAGAAGATATACACCATGATGAAAAAAGCTGGCAGCCTAAAACCCAAAGAATAAATGTGAGTAGCGTGCAAAGCGTAGTGAGCTCGAATCGAAGATTAAGCATGCTAGCAAAATGTGATAAGGAAAAAGTGCGGCAGATTCTAACAAAAGATTTGGAAATAAGAAAAAGTTCCTCAAAGATGGTGCGTCGAATCTTGACGGAAGAGAAGAAAAAATGGGCCATCAACCTAACTCACCAGATTTAATCTCTTGTAATTTTTTACTATTTCGAAAATTAGAAAAAATGCCATCCCTGGCATACAGTAGTACATGATTACATTACAAAAGGTATTCTGAAAAATTAGTTCAAAAAATATTTCCTGGGTCAGGTTCATCTTTTCTCTCTCTTTCTCTTCTCTCTCTCTCTCTCTCTCTCTCTCTCTCTCTCTCTCTCTCTATATATATATATATATATATATATATATATATATATATATATATATGTGTGTGTGTGTGTGTGTGTATACACTCTATCTCATTCTCTCGTCTTTCTCTTTCTATATATATGTCCACTTTCTCCACCATATATATGTCCATCTCTCTCTCTCTCTTTATATGTGTGTGTCTACTCTCTCTCCATCTATATGTCCCTCTCTCTTTCTCTCTCTACATATATATATATGTCCACTCTCTGCATCCATGTCCTTCTCTCTCTTCTTCCCTCTCTCAGCCTCTCTCTGTCTCTCTGTCTCTCTCTCTATATATATATGTGTGTGTGCGTGTGTCCACTCTCTCTCTCTCTCTCTCTCTCCATCTATATGTTCTTTTTCTTTTTTCTCTCACTCTTCCCATCTATGTCCATCTCTCTCTATACATATGTTCACTCTCGCTCGCTCTCTCTATTTATCTCTCTCTCTCTCTCTCTCTCTCTCTATATATATATATATATATATATATATATATATATATATATACTCTCACTTCCCCATCTCTCTCTGTACCTCTCTCTCTCTGTCTCTCTCTCTCTCTCTCTCTATATATATATATATATATATATATATATATATATATATATATATATATAAAAGCAAACACGTGTAGATCAATAAAACTACACTTATGTACATTTCAACTTCGATTAGAGCGACGTCAATGGTTAGTGTTTGAACCCAGGTGACAAACAAGATTCCGAATACAGATGAGCTGCTCACGATATTACGCCACATAAGTTCTTCCCACTCAGAATACTGACGCTAAACAATCTTTTTTTTATCCCATTTCCCCACTATGTAGCTTTATAAAGCATTAAACACGATAAAAATCTCTATAGTGATATAATACAAAACCAGGTATATATATGTATATGAAATATATAAACACATTTTTCTATTTATATATATATATATATGTGTGTGTGTGTGTGTATCTATCTATCTATCTATATATATATATATATATATATATATATATATATGTCCATATGTTTTTATCCTCTGAAACTCTTATTAAACGTTGTTTCTCACCGCCCGTTTCAGTGCCTATTCTACCGTCCATTTTACACAAGCTCGTCAGGATACGTTCATCACTATTTCTCATCGTCCCTCTTGCCTCCAATACATCCTTTGAGTGTCAAATTCTCAAAGCCCCTTTTCCGCATTATGTGTCATACAAACTTTAGCTGTCTCTTTCCTATTCTATGTATAAGCCTGTTTTTTTAATTCTATTTTCCTTTACAATTTATCATTACTGACATTACTCCACTCAATGTCATTCTCAGTATCTTTCTTTAGGACCTCATCTTAGTTGATTCAAGTCTCTTCGTTGTGAGGAAATTGTCCAGCATTCACTGCAATATAGGGAGAACCGATATTACATAAAACTTCAACATACTTTCCTTTGTCTGTTTAGAGAAACCTATTTGTTATTGCGTCCTGGGCATGACGATAAACTACACCCGCGTCCTGGATAAGACGATAAACTAAGTCCAACAGCAAGGCCTCTGATAATACGTTTTTGAAAAAAATAATGTTGCCAGCAATAAGTTTTTGAAAAAATAATATTACCAGCTATACGTTTTTGAAAAAAATAATATTACTAGCGATAGGTTTTTGGAAAAATAATATTTCCAGCTATACGTTTTTGGAAAAATAATATTACCAGCTATACGTTTTTGAAAAAAATAATATTACTAGCGATAGGTTTTTGGAAAAATAATATTTCCAGCTATACGTTTTTGAAAAAATAATATTACCAGCTATACGTTTTTGAAAAAATAATATTACCAGCAATATGTTTTTGAAAAAATAATATTACCATTACCAGCTATATGTTTTTGAAAAAAATAATATTACCATTACCAGCTATATGATTTTGAAAAAATAATATTACCAGATATAAATTTTTGAGGAAAATTATTACCAGAAATAGATTTTTGACAAAACAAAAATATTACGAGGAAAAAAAAAAGTTGTCGGCATTAAATGACACATTGAGGTTGATATACCGTAAAACAAAACAAACCAAACCAAACTATTTGTTATTCGAATAAAATCTGGCGATGTCAAACTTTCGCTTCCTATGTAACATGGAAGGATGCGAAGAAAACTTGATGGAATCAAAATATAATTGAGAGGTTTCAAAGAAATCTAGCGTGAAATAATTTCTTCTTGTCAACAACCAGGTTCGAAACCGCGTGTGAGATTCGATTTACTGGCGCGTTTATCGATTTGGCCGCTTTGCACTAGCATAGAACGCTCTACCCAGTTATTAAACGTACGTTTAATAAAAGCAGCTGCATTGCTGGTAACAGCAGCGACTGTGGCAAGTGGAGAGATTCAAGAAGGAGCACTTTCGCACTTCGACGTCAGTGGAAGCTGCAACTGCAGTTGTTGTCACTGCTGCGATGACGGCGAACGACGCGCGTGCAAGAAGGTAAGTAGATAGCGAGGCAGGCAGGCAGGAAGGAAGGTAGACAAAGGATTGATTAGTAGGTATGCGGAGATTTAGAGTGATCGGTAGAAAGAAAGCGACAGGTGAACAGAGAGGAAGAGAAAAAGAGAGGTACTTACAAATATAACCACACAGACATATATATATATATATATATATATATATATATATATATATATATATATATATGTGTGTGTGTGTGTGTGTACTTTGCCGCAGAGCAATAATTAGCAAGCTAGTCAAACTGATCATAATCGCAGTAATGGGCTCGATCCAAGTTTAGTACCCTATACTAGTGCCCTTGTGTCAGACAAACTTAGCATTGGATATTCTCATTATGAAATAACCGGGTATCAAGCTTGCAGACCAATACTAGAGTTTTCTCCTCATTGGGTGCTCAAAATTTAAGGCCTTGTATCAAATTAAATGGAACTAAATAAATATCTCAAACCAACTAAAAAGTAACTGATCTATCTAAAATGCCGTATTTTTCATTGTATAAGCCGCACTCAAAAAAGTGTTAGAAGTTGTTGGCTTTTATTATATCAAATATAATGAATCTCTACTGCCATATTTTACAATAATGTAAACAGTGGGCCAGACAAAAGTAAGCATATTAAATCTTAATACATCTTTATATATGAAGATGGATCAATAAGTCTGTAGCCTGACACGTGGTGAGATTAATTTTTAACTGAAATTTTCACTGTATAAATTCCGATCTATACAACTGATGTTCAAGTTAATTGAACATCAGTCTTATGGGGATTATACTGAAAAAGAAATATTTATTGTGCAAAATAAAAACTTTTTATACCATTACACTCCTGAGTTATTATACACCAACATAGATGTGTAAAGAATGAAATTCTGTGATATACATATATCGATATACTGAGACCATAGAGAGAGAGAGAGAGAGAGAGACCGAGATGGAGAGACAGACGAGATATAAACATAGATAGATAGATAGATAAGGAACACGCTGATATATCAACATATAGAAACTGTAGAAGTGTGTGAGAGAGAGAAAGAGAAGATATATAAACATAGATAGATAGATAGATAATGAACCTACTGAAATATAGTAAGACATGCAAGATAGCTAGCTATAGATAGACAGAAACAGGCTGAGATAGATAGATAGATAGATAGATAGATAGATAGATAGATAGATAGACCGATGAAATTATAAGAGAGAGTTCAATAAACAGACACCCTTACGCACACATTCATTCATGCGTACACTAAAAAAACGGAATATAATGAGATATATTGAAATATAGAGATTATAAAAAGAGATAGAATGATAGACGAAGAGAGAGAGAGAGAGAGAGAGAGAGAGAGAGAGAAACATCGTAGACATGAACATAGATAAATAGAAACGGTAGAGTTCATTGAATAGACAGATACATATACACACGTTAGCATACACACATTAACATACACACATCATTAGCATTTCCACTCGCATATAATAATAAAAAAAACGTAAATAAGGATTCCGATAGTGATAAATAGTTGTTAAGATTTACGAATAGATAGAATGGGAGACGTTATGCATTCAGCATGTATTTAGATATATGCTTAGCCTAGTCTGGCACAATAGTGGAGCGCTCTGTGGGGATCAAAATCCAAGCAAGAGGAAGTGAAATTTGCTTGCTAATCGTCCCTGCCTGGTAGACTCAGACGATATTTATGTATCTATACATTGTAGGTATATACGCAAATAAAGTGAGAAGGAAGGAATAAGAGAAAAAGACGATCAAGAAGAAAGAGAGAGAGAGAGAGAGAGTGAAGGAAAGAGAGAGGTAAATAATAGTATGTAGAAAGAGAGAACGAAAGGAAGGATGAATTGAAATACATACTAAAAAGAAAGAAAAATATTAAGAAATCAATAAGGCTATTGAATAACAATTAGTAATAGCGAGAGTATGATCAGCCTACTGCTACTGGATACTCAAGAGAACTAGTATTGTAGACAATAGCATCTTCCATGCGTATATGATGAACGAAAGCCTACATTTTTGAAGGTTATTTTTTCTCTGATTGCCTAGCGTTTGAGCAAAGCGCCACTCGTTCCCACACACCTTAGCGCAAAGTTAACCACTTCTTTTTACCTCATTTAGTGCCTAAACGTGTTTATTCATCAATAGATAATTGAAATTCTGTTTATTTACTTATCTATTATTTGTCCTGAGTCAATTTTTTGTGGTAGCGAAATTTGAAACTTACCCTTAAAAATAGATAAGGTAACTCTAGAAGCAACGACTATTCTTTAAATATTTCCTAGCTTAAATTTTTTTAAGATCAGCATCACACACAATCACGCTCATGATCACCAATCCCGTAACTCCTGAGGGTCTAAGGTGCGCCACATATAATGCGGCCGTAGCATCAGTCTTAGGCAAGATAGCCGGAAGGAGCCCATCCCTCTCTAGTCTTTTTTTTTAAGCGTATCACCCCAAGCAAGGCGGGAAGCCACTAACAAGCAAAGGGTTACAGAGAGTTGGAGCGAGACCAAAGAGGAGTGATGGAGGAAAGGATGAAGAGAAGGATAGGGTAGATAGAAGGATAGATCAAGGCATCTGGAGACGTCGATCGACATTACATTTGAATAGTTGGAGATTATAGCTATCAGGGAAACAAGAAATGGGGGAAGGAATACCACGGGCGTGAATTTCAAGACATGAAGCTATTGGAGTAGAAGAGACGGCTACATTGAAAGGTGAGAGCGAGATGCCAGCCTAGTAGAACGCTTAAATTCATGGAGTCTGGGAACCAGTGAAAGCAGCTCATCGGTGCAGTTAACGTGAAAGTATTTGTAAAAAAGACAGAGGAAGGCGACGGCACGTCTGTGAGAGAGCGACTGCAGGCGAGATGCCAGATCAGGGTCCATTACATTGCATATCCGTCTCTGGATTTTATCAAGGACCTTGATACAAAACAGAAGGGGCTCCAGACCATATATGGCAGCAATACTTCATTCAAGGGCGAATGGTTGATTTGTAGATTTGAAGGATCGAGTCCTAGCGCGGTACAGGGAGCCAACTTTCGGATGAAGCTATTGACTCAATGTATTTGTTCCATCTCAGGTCAGCAGACATTGTGAGGCCGAACAGTTGCAAAGAGATGCTCTCGTGGAGTTGAGCGTCAGACATTCTAATGGGAGGCAGGGATGTTTTGAAGTCAGAGTTTGCATCTTCCTATGTTGGTTTTCAATCAAGGCTATACAACCCAGTCTGTTTTGTTATTTAACCCATAGCGGAGTAGATGGATTCATCAATTTCTTGAGGGTATTCGCGCGTATGTGAATATAACGAAGTCGACTGGAATACAAATGTGGTTTTCTGATTTCTCATTCCTAGCCGCTATCCATTACCCCACCGCACGTCACACAACAGCCATGAAATGGGTACCACTAAATATTAGCGTGGTAGTGTTTGCTTTGTAAACAACTAGAATATTCAAAACTTATCTTCAAAATTTGATGAGCGGATAGCATCTGCGAAACTTGATTGATTCATTTTCTACGGCTTATCAATCCTTTGTTGGTTAAATAAATAATAATGGCTGGCCACTCGTATCTGAGTATGCCCGTCTACTAGTGGTATGTTACCGAATGGTTAGAGCGTTCGCTTGCTGACCATGAGACCCGGGTTCGAATCTCACCATGATCGACTTGTCAGGATGGTATGGGCCACCTTTGGAAAGTGGCTGAAAACGGGTTGACCTAAGCCTTGTGAGTGAAATTGGGTAAGCGAAATTCTTTGGAAGCTGCCTCTGGCTGTACTAGCACCAAGTCATTTGCTGGCCTCGTTCAGACTGTTAATCACACTAGATAACGCGCTCTCTCCCGGAAACTGTAATTTAATTCATCTATTCATCTAGCCGCTAGATGTATACTAACCGTAATTTCTATGCTAAGAGTTTCCTTTTCTCGCTTATGGAACTCTCTTCCGGACTCATGCTTTCCAGCCAACTTTGATCTTCAAAAATTTAAATGTAATATTATTTATTATCTACTATCTTCTATTGTTCTCGCTCCTTAATGTTTCTCTTTTTTCCTTATTCTTTCACAATCTGTAACCTTCTGTCTTAATGGTTTTACTGTCTTCCTTGGGGTGAAATGATTAAAAATTGTACATAACTCAGTAATGGAACAGTTTCCTCGCCTAGTAAGGAGAGACACGCGCGACAATTGTCTATTGGCTGTCATCTTGCGACTCTCCCCAACAAAGACCAGATCCTCAAATGGAATGTTAGGACACTGAGCCAAAGCGGGAAGATAGAAAATGTGGAAGATAGAAAATGTGAAAGAAGAAATAGGAAGTGTTAATATTCATTCCGGTCGTAGATATGCAGTTTTCCACTGTGAAACATACCCAAGTGCTAAGTGCAGGAGTGATCTCTTATTCAGGCTTATACCGAGCTGCTGTCTGAGAAGGGAAAATCTTTGGAAATACAATAGTGAATATAACAATGCCTTTAATCTGTAGCTGAGGGGGGGGGGCATATGTTACCATCCTCTGGGATTTTTCTATCAACACAAATCCAATAAGACAAGCAAATCGTACACACAATATTATCAAAGACAGAAATAAAAACAGATTGCACACCGATTGACATGAGTGTACCAAGTAGTAAACATTTCGCAGCGAAAGATTTAAAAAAGAACTAAGCAAATATAAAGACCTTAAGATGGAATTAGAAAAAGAATATAGCACTTAAACATTAAAACTGTTCCAGCTATGGTTGGAACTTTGGGTCCTATAAAGAAAGGAACTCAACATCAAATCAAGAAAAATCACCGGAGAAACCATCTCTCCGAGAAATCTAAAAGACACTTCTAACAAGTACAGCCCATATCCTGTGAAGGGTTTTATCCATTTAAATCTTTTTCATAATAGCTGTAATTTTTTTTTTAATTAAGTGGAAACAATCTCACTTTTCGCTTGGTTATGACCCGGTATAGGATTATAAACCAAATGCAGACCAAAAAGAATTTTATAAAAAAAATAATAATGTGCAAGAAAGGGCAAGAAAGGGTGAGAAAATACACCAATAAAATACCTGGCAAAATCAAGATACAAGAGGACTAGAAGATCAGCCTCTTCAGCACTATTCACATATTATGTAGAATCCTATCCATCAAATGGTACCTATACTTTATTATGAATTTAAGCGCAGTACTAGATTTGGCAATGAGATCTCATTAACTTATAGTTGAATTGACCAGATGTAACCGTAAGTTCTATGCAAACGGTTTCCGTGCCGGAACTTCTCGCTCTCTAACTTCTCCATGCTTTCCGGGCAACTTTGATCTTCAAAAACTTAAATGCAATGTCAATCGTTATCTAATGTCTTCCTGGTTACTCTTCTCTTGTTCTCGCTCCTTCATAACGTTTTCTGTTTTCTAATTCTTTCAAACCCAGTAACCCCCTCGTGTCTCAGTGGCTTTACTGCCTTGCTTGGGGTAAATTCGATCAAAATAAACAAAGGATGTATTTGAAAAATTCCCAAGCAACTTGGTGCTACTTTAACTTTAAAACTCGCCAATGGTAGGATTGATATTTTCAATAATATTAGGTTGGTGCAAAAATAATGACGTAATAATGTCGTTTTTGACGTTAAAAATACGTCAAAAACGACATTATTACGTCATTATTTTTGCACCAACCTAATAATAATAATAATGATAATTTTTTTTTTTTTTGTCAGTGGAAAGTGTCATGATATCATTTCTAAACTTAGGTCCCTGGGCGATACCAGGAAAGAAATGTGTAAACGCCAAAAATCAAAGGAAATAATAATAATAATAATAATAATAATAATAATAATAATAATAATAATGCAATACATTATTCGATATGACAGTCTAGTACAATATATTCATAGTACAAATACCACTAGAATGATGTTAAAAATGGTGATGAAGTGACAATACTATGGAATTCCTCAATCCTCACAGACAAGAAAAATGAGGCAAATAGAAAAAGCACATTCGTAAAATATTTCAATAAAAGGGACCTGGCAATTAATTGATACGACTTGCCCACGGGATTCCAATGTTTCTAAAAAAGAATTTCAAAAACTGTCAAATTATAAGGATTTGCAAATCGAATTAACAAAAACGTGGAAACTTAAAACTCCGATTATCCCTCTTGTGATAGGTGCTAAAGAAGGGTAGCGAAAATCATGTGAGAAAGACTCCGGGGCACATCACTCGGAGCTACATAAGATTACTTTGTAGGAATCTGCACATATCATCCACAAAACCCTCTCCATCTAAACGAAACGTCACAAATTATAGACCACTCTCCTACAGTGCCTTTTTTATTCATAGGAGAGGCATAA